ACAATTGGAGCTCAGGGGGTGTGGGGTGGTCAGCCCTGCAAGCCCCAAACCCAGCTCTCCATTGCAAAGGAGCCTGGCAGAGTATAGTCAGTGGTCCTGTGGAAAATGCCCCAAATCATCCAAGCTGTTGTGTGAAATGCAAAGTACTTTGTGGTATCTGGGAGAGGGACTGGAAAAAAATCCCACTGGCTTGTCCACCTTGCCTGCGGGGGGTGAGGCAGTGCAAAGGGCTCTGAGAGCAACCGTGTGACTCCTCCAAGTTGACCAGACTTCTAGCTGGTTGGGCTCTCATATGATTCCCTAAAAATAGCAGCTCATGTTTCCCATCATTGCCGTCCAGCTATTTTAATTAGCCTGTGGTCTCTGGTTTTTGCTTTGTGATGTGTAAATAGGAAATATTTACGCTAGGCCAGTAACTCCACATTCCTCCCACCTCTTTTCTTAACTCAGAGGGATTAGAGCTATGTTTATAAAATGCCTAATGCATTTGTCTGAACATCTCTAAATATCACTGACTTTTCCGTAATGTTTTTTTCAGAGGACTGATTTTTAGATCACTCACGCTATTGACAGGTATTTTTTCCTTCATCTGACAAGTGTGTTTATTCCTCAACCTTCAACTGAAAATCTGCTCTGGTGCCCATCCTGGGACAGGCTGAAACTCTTCCAAACTGCAAAGGGCTCAGTTCCTGCTGATTTCACTGACAATTCCCAGTGGCTCAGAAAAGCAAGATTTCCAAGTGACATTGGTGCCCAGAGAGTAGAGAGGTACCTGATGTGTCTTTTGGCTATTTTAGATTGGCCCATGTAGTACAGTACTTTGGTGCGACCTGTATTTGCAGGTTAATTTAACCATCTTCTGATGTTTAGCATTTCCTGTAGTAGGTTTCTGTTCTGCTACATGTCTCCTGCTCTTGGCAGAGCGTTTAATATGAAACAGCTGCACAAAAACATCTTTTTGGGGTTCTACAGATATGATCAATGTGTATGACACCGCTGTCTCTTACTGCCAAGAGCAAAACTTTGCTCCTGACTGCAGAGTCAGTTTAATTTGGGGGAAATAGATAGGATGTGGTTGTGACTGACATCCTTGCCAAAATTGTCACTGTGGCTCATTCTGTTAGGGTCCTTCAGGTGCAAGTTCTGTCCCTGAAAGCCATATGAAGGTTGCTGAGCCCCAGAAGAGCCATCTCTGAGTCAGCTGAGGCTGGGTGATACTGGCAGCAGCAGAGAGAGCAGAAGTAGTAAGCTTTGTTGGTTTCAGGAGAAGTCTGACTTGAGGGAAAGATCATAGCTTTTTGTTTGTGGGAAAATAATCTCCCAGTAATTTTAAAGGTAGGCTAAAAATGATTTTGATACTGTATTATATTAAAAAAATGTATTGTAAAATTATGAATAGTAAAATCAAGGAAATACTTCTTTTTCTTGATTCATGCTGAAACTTCCTCCAGAGCTTACTTTTGCAGAGAATTTTTAGTTTGTCAGGCTTTGTTCCAAGCTGCAGTAAGGGCAGATAGAGAAAGCTCCAAGTACTTCATAAATCTGAATTTCTCTCCTTGTCAGAGCTCTAGGAGTCCCCAAAGCTAAGACTGATAAAACCCAGCTGCTGGCAAGGTTTGAACACAGTGGAGTAGTCCTGAAGAATGGCTGTGGAAGAGTCCCACACCTGCCTCATTGCCCAAATTCTGCACAGTGAGGATAAACAGCCCCTCTAGCAAGGTGGAGAAATGGCTATGATAGAAGAGGCTGCAGGATGGGTCGCTTCTGTCCTCACCTGCACGGGCTCTGCTGGGTTTGTCAGGACAGAAGGTGGTTTGAACCTCAATGTGGATTGAGGCTGGATGCAGCAGAGAAAACCACAATGAGATTTTTTTGTCGTTTCCCATGATACCAGGTGCAGCATAACCTGTGTTGGCTAACAGGAGGTGCTGAGCAGAACATGTTTCTTTAATCTAGTTTCTTTCTGGGTGAGAAAATACCTATAGTGAGGCACCTTCTTCCCTCAGGACCCTCAGGCCTTTGCCGCCTCCTGCAGTCAGGGAAGGGGGGTGGTACTGGTCTGACCAGAGCTTTTGCACAAAATCCAGCTGCCGAAGGAAGCAGTGGTGCTTTTCTGTATAGGAGAAAATGTGCAGATGCTCAGGCAAGTCCAATGCCTCCTACATGAGAGTGCAAAACTGATGACTTCAACTTCCTGGGCACGTCCAAAGCAGACATGCAGGTGCTAGCAGCAACCCTGGAGAAATGTAGGCCTTGCAAGTCATCAGGCAGAGCACAGCAATACCTGCCTGCAACTCTGGGGGTCAACCTGTGGAGCAGGTGCCAGTGTTGTCCTGCAGCGGGACGTGTTCTAGTCCCCAGTTCACCACTTCTGTCAAGTGTGTTCAGCTGATTTGCCCCTGGGGCTGCTTGGGTCACCCCATGCCCTGCTCTTGTCTGTCCAGTGCCCCCACACCAAATTATGGCACTGACTGTGGTAGCCCTCAACAAATCATTCACTCTGTGGCTGCGAGGTAAGGACAGAACCTGTATTGCTCTGCTGGGCAAAAAGGGCTGTAAACAAAAAACTGAAATCTCAATTTAGTGCCATTGCTCGGGTGGATTACTAAGTAGGCCCCTTGCTTGTTAATACCAAGAGAAATAGAAACCATTTACTTTCTACAACCAAAGCAGTCTGATGCTTGTATTTTCCTAGTCTAGGGTGGCATGCTTTTATTTCCGTTTATAATCAGTTCCACTTTCTGGTTTCCGTGTACCAGGGACTTTTTGCATGTGGTTGGTCCCTTGACCCCTCAGGGTCTGTGTACTGCTTCTCTGGGACTTGCAGCTAAGGTAACAAAGTAGAAACCTGGCTCTCTGAGCATGGCAGAACTCCCTTTATTTCCCTGGAAAAAGTGTTCATGGGTGGGACATAACTCAGAAAATCCTGAAAAATGCTTCTCTTGCATAAGGCATTCATGTCTGTATTCTCAGCCTTGCCAAGTATACCAAGTCTCAAATCTGTGTGTCTGTGTGTGAAAGATGGAGTTCATTATACTTACATACATTCATTTTCCATTGACATATTTGTGTTAATTTCATATTCTTTTCATATAAATTTAGAATTTCAGTCCAAATATCTGTCTACAAAAGTTCATTGCGATATGTTATTGCTCTACACTCACTGAGAGGAAGCAGCAGGAATTTTTGCTTTCTAACTTTCCTGGGAGCAGGGTAACAACATCTATGTGCCACTGGGTTGTGTTTGCTGTGTGCTATTCAGTAATTTTCCCCAGAAGTGGTTTTATTTTTAATGGCAGGCCATCTGATCCCAGAGTCTCATCTGAGCACTGAATTTGCAAATATATGTATTTATTATCATCATATTTGAACAAGTATAACGCCTGTCCCAAGATTCAAGCCCATTCAAAGCTGGAGTCTGAAAAGCACATTCATCATTCTGGGTAGCACTCACCCCAGCTGCTTTCCTGTGAGAGGCCTCTTTTGGCTTTTCCAAGCAACCAGCCACCCTCCTGTACAAGCAGCTCCAATTGATTTCCATGGGGGTTTTTTAGTTGTGCCTCAGCCTCTAAGCAGTTCACAAGTTCATGGGCTTACAGAAACCCGGGCTATACCTGCCTCTCTTCATAGACAGCAAGGATGGGTTTATTTTTAGCACAAGTATTCCAGAAATACATTCCACCCCTCTTCAGAAATGTGTGGGAGAGACAGGCACACGTATGCAGATGGTTTTGCCTACATTCGTGTCAGTGAGCACCCGAAAACTGCTTTTCCACTGCCTGTTGTCATCCCAAACCCCATGTTTCTGCAGTTCTCTCAGAAAGCTCAGCTCATAGGTGCTGTGATGCACACATTCAGCAGATATCATCATGTAAGTGTTGGCACAGTGCAGGGCATAAGGAGCTGTTGGAGCATGCAGTTTGGGACCAGAACGTAACAGAAGCGCCTTGATGTTTGGCAATGCATGTGTTTGGTTTAGGATGAATTAGGGGAAGCAGTGCGGCACCAAAAGCATAGACCAAGAGTCCAGGAGAGCAGGCTTTGCAACATTTTCCTGCTGGGATACATGGGGAGAGCAATACACCTCTCCCAGGTGAGGAAATCAAAGCTGAAGGCTGCTGTGGGGAAGGCAGGCCATTGCCCCTCCAAGGGCAGCTGGGCTCATGCTGCTCCTGGGTCGCAGGGAGCTTCTGGCCATCCCAAGCCTGCCAGAGCCTGGAGAATCTCAGGCAGCAGATTCGGCATACATGTAGTTGTCGCCTTGCCCATGCTGTAGCAATGTAATTAGCAGCTCTTTTTAAAATGCAAATGAGCACTGAGCTCACATGGAGCCCTGTTCTGCAATAGAAGCAGGAGCCGGGCCATAATCACAGGAAGTTCTTCATTTTGCTGCAGGCTGTGGCTCAAGTCCAGGGTGATGCTGAGCCCCAGGAGAGCCCCACGACTTCAGTAAGGAGCTCTGTGCCCTCAGCAGGGCACGGAGGGCAATCCATTGTTTATATCTGCAGTACAAAAGCTTAGCTCGCCGACTTCACGGCATATTTCCCCTATTATTCAATATCCTACTGCAGTTTGCCAGATGAAACCCAATGCTGGCATGTGCCTCCCAGGAGGGCTGCTGGTGTTGTTTGCTTTGGAAGGAGGGTGGAATGGGGTCCTTACTCTAAGAACACTGGACACATTTGTCCAGCCCTGATGATGAAATGAGCTATTTATGAGAAGGCACTGGTAGGACAGTAATGTGTTACTCACGTCCATGCTTCTTGTACGGTATTTTTAATGGTGACCTTCATAAACATTTTGACTCCCACCTGGAGACACAAAAATGTGGTGCTTTCAAGCTTGAATCACTGGCAGCAGCAAGCCAATCGCACACCATTACTTTCTGTATTAGTTATCTCTGAAGCATTACCACTGGCGAATCTGAATGTAAAAATAGCTGATGACTGTTTGTTTCATCTGTCTGTTACTTGACACCGCATGGTTATTCCAATACGTATGTTTGCCTCTTCCCCACCATGATCTCCGTTTGGCTTCCCCTTGCCTGATAACTATTTAAATGCATTTTACTAACTTTGGATTCCTTGCTCACTCCACTTCACCTGGCTGGCAGGTCTGTGAGGGCTCAAGGGTTAGCTCCTCCACTTTTATTTTTTACTTATTTATTTTTCAGTGACTGTTCCTATTAAAATAACCATGTTCAGAAGAAGAGTCTGAAACTCGTAAATAATGGGAAGTGCTAATAGTAAGCAGACTGCTGTAAAATGTGCTGGGGCTTTGACTTAAAGGAAGAAAGCACAGCACTGTACTGCCCCTGATCAGGAAGCTGGAGCACCAAAGGTAAGGGGGAGGCATATGGGCACTTTTTAAAACCTGGAAATGGTGACGAATGATGGCGTCTGAGTGTGTGAATGTGTAACTGATCAGATGAGAAAAATAAAACAGCATTTTTATATTTTTCTTCAGGGATGAGAGGTGGAAAGTCCTTTTATTTTGTCCAGCTCTTTTCTGCTCTCAGAAATGCAGGATTGCCTCTAAAAGTCTGTGTATGGAAAGAGCCATACATATAGATTTGTATGCAGTGATTTGTATGTTTATGACACATAACTGTTTGGTAAAGGGGATGATTTTTGTTTTAAAAGACCACTAAATTGCTATGAAGCTCCATTTAATTGTCCCGCACATTGTGCTGTAAGCAACTTTAAGCAAATATACATTGATTTTATTTTCCAGATGATTACTGCCTAGAGATAAGATACTCCTACAAATTTTAGTGATTTGTATAGGAGTGTGAAGGCATTTTTTCTTTCTTTTTTTTTTTTTTTTGAACAAATAGGAGGAGAACAGTTTAAATATTTTATAGGCAGCAATTAGTACGCTATAGAGCCTGAAAAAGTAAAATACTTCAAATACCTAGGCAGTGCTAAGAGGTCACTATAAATGACTGTGACTATGACTTGTATCCAATTTTAATCACTGGAAAATTTCTTAAATGGTATAAGCTTTTCTGAGTCCAGTTGTTACAGACCTTCTTAGTCTGCCATCCAAAGGAACTACATGTTGTTAGCCTAGCGCAGAACTCGGCAGCAAAATGACAGAAATAATTGAAATAGAGTTTGAGAATCCAAATCCTTATGCTTTTTTTTTTTTTTTTTTAATGGTCTGTGAACAGGCAATCCAATTAGCTCTGAACAGGGACAGGCATTCTAGCACCAGGCCAAAGCAGCCTACTGAGGCTGACTTTATAACAGCTCTCATTTAGAGGGTCCCTTGCTGGTGTTCTGCAGTTGCTGGGGGGAAAGCTGGAGGGAAGGAAAAGTGAGAAGATATAAGAAGGAGAAATAAGCTTTCTGGTCAGGATCAAAGCCCATGGCTCTTTTTCTCCAGTTCTGCAGAGAACTGACCATGTAAAAAGCAAATGCCCTCAGTTAATTGCTTAGAGGTTAAGACTTGTGGAAAATACTAACAAATTAAATATTCATATTATCTAGGAGACCCAAAACACCTAAATCTCTGTCCTTCTGTGCATGTCACTGGACGGGTTTTTAAATTACATGCATATTCCCAACTTACTTTGCAAAACAGCTGTAACAGGCAATCACCTGTGTACTTGAAGGCCTCAGCCATGTGGAGGCATGCAGGTGTAACTGTGTCCCTGCAATGCAAAGCAAAAGCACAAGGAAATTTCAGTCTGTAGCTTCTTAATCCTATCTGCTTCTCTGAAATGTTTGTCTCGGCTGTGCTTGCATTACTAGAGCTGTGCAAAAGGCAAAGGAAAATGGAAATCCCTCCAAGACCAGGAAAAAAGCCAACTAACCTTATGACCCAGGCTGGGAGAAATACCACTCCTCTGCATCAGCCTTTCATTTCTTTAGTCAAGCTGATTTTACACACACACACAAAGTTGCTGGCAGAGGGAAATTCTGCAAGTGATTTTTTTAGCTGTAGGCTTGGCTGTGCTACCTTACATGTAGCTGGGGAGCCGGGGCACACACAGCCTTGTCCACCTTAAGCAAGTGGGTGAGTTCATTGCTTTCAGAGCTAGCATGCATCACTTGAGGTAGGGTCTTGTTTTGGGACCAGCCAAGTCTGAGCCAGCTGACAGGTGTGGGGTGAAGGGGAGCGTAGTGCGGGCACATGTATACACTGGTGCGGGAGCTTCACCTTGGAGAGAATGTTGTGCCTCTTTGATAAAGCCTGCATAAGGTTTTGGGTGAGTCAGTGGCTGCCAATACATATCAGTAGGTATATGCGTGTGTGTGCACATACTGAGCTTGGTGATTTGTGATTATGTTGCTGCTTGCCAGGCTTTTATGGCTTTCAAGTGTGTATGGTCGGAGAGTGCTGCTGAGACTCCTGTCTCTTGGCAGCTCCAGGGAAACTGAGGCGGTACTGAATCTATGAGCACAACCCTTCTCTGGGAGCAGGGTCTCCCTCTCCCTGGCCAAATGATCCTCTTTGGACAGGCATAGAAAACAGATATTTAATTATAGTCTTGGGTTTCCTTATCATCCATCTTCCATGCTTGCAAATAATGATATACGTGAAGGCATTAGCTACTAATGATTAATCTAAATCATCTAGTAACAGTCAGACCAACCTTCCTATGAGCCACGCAGGTCAAATAGTGATGCATATTTATTTTCAGTTTCTCACCTAGATACATCGCAATAGTTTCAGGGGTTCTTTCCCTGTTGCTTACACACACTGTCTGAAGCTGTTTTGGGAACTGTGACAGGGCTATGACAGAGCCAGGTACCGAAAGGCCACCTAACTCATACTTTCCACTTGAAAAAGATAGAGATGAAAATCCCTGCAAGTCTGGGGAGTGTCTCTAAAAGAGGTGCTTGTGGTTAACATTTGAATACACCTTACCATGCAGTCAGCAGTATCTGGCAGCTGACAGCTACTGCAGATCCTGAGTCTCAGATATGCCTCTGTCACTGTTAGCTGGGTCAGACATAAGCTGCTGCACCTGAACATCAGCTTGGTTTGCCTTTCAGCTTCATTACAGACCTTTGTACAATTCTGCACCCTTCTGATGGCTTCTGTTCTGTTGAGGTATACTTCAGGTGTGAGGACAACATCACTGAGCTTGCTGAGGAAGTGAGGGGACTACCCTGGGCTACCCTGTATCAAGACAGCCATTGCCCTCTCTCTTAGGGAACAAGGGTGGATTCTGCTTCAAACTCTTGTTGTTTTCTTTTCTTTTTCTCTCTTTTATGTATCCATTTACAGGATAATAACAAGAAACATCTTAGTATATGCATTAACTGTAAAATAATGAGGAAGTACCTTAGGGACACACCATTAAACTATAGCAATGAATCAATGCCTGAATAGGAATTGGGAGTCTTCATTTCCCAGGAAAATAAATGAACGCCTGTTTCACACTGAAGAGGGAACTGGAAGGAGCTTCCATCTTATTCAGGAGGAGACCATTGGTTGGCTTTTGCTGCTCAAAAGAAGGAAAATAGTGTTGCCTTCAGAGATATTACCTGGGGCACAGGTGGGTGGGCTCCTCTATGCCGTCTCAAAATATTCACATATGTGAATAGCTGTCTGATAGCCAGCTTCCAGGTGGCACACACAGGTAAGACAGGCCACAGCTTTTATCCTTCATCTGGAATGCCTCTGATGCCATCACAAATAGTTGAGGTGCAGTTTGTCATTGCAGGAAAAGCGTTAAGCATATGGATGGCTCTGTGTTGAAGTCACACACTCTGGCCTGTCTAGAAGCATGTATGTTCCTGCTTGCCATGTGTCTTGCTCAAGTACTGGGCTTTCTTGACTGCATTTGAAAGCTGCAGCAAGGTGTAAGTAAGAAATATTGCTTTTCCTGCAGCCTGAGCTGGAAAACCTTGAAAACAAAAACTTCCACTTTCTTTTCCCTACCCTGGTGCAAATCCATATCTGCTGGCCTGATGGTCACCATCTGAGCTCTTGGGGTCTGATTCTATCTGTAGGGATGTTACTAGGGCAGAGCTCAGACAGCCTGGAAATTCAGTGTCTTTCCCAAAATCTCTTTCTATAGATTCGTTTTGCATCATGCTGGATACTGTTAACAGGTTGTATTAATGAAGTCCTGGCCCTGCCTTAATTTTCTGTAAATCTAGCAAAGGGTCACTGGATCTGGTGAATTCATTCTGGTGCAAATCTGGAGTAAAGAAAATTTAATTTGGATTTGGCTTTAGTGTCCTTAGGCAGCTGACAGGGTATGAATATCATCCTTAGCTTCATGGCTGTGTGAAGATTAATGAAATGGGGTATGTGAATTCTTGCTATCCAGTTATGGATAGTTTATTCAGTGACTTGCACCCTGTCATCCAAAAGGACCGCCTTAGCTGCATGTCAAGGGAGACCGGCCATGGGTAGCAAGGCTCAGAGTGCAACGGGCAAGCACTGTGCCTGCCACGGGCTGCCACATGCTGCCATGCTCCTCGATGCATCATTGTGTCCCCTCTGATCTCCTGTTGTATGTTTAGGTGTGTCTTCCAGAATGTGTGTTTCTCTGGGATACTACTAGTTGCACTGGACTCTGGGGGCAACGTGTTGCATATTGTTTTAGATTAACTCTTGAAACTGTTTTGGATTAACTCTTGAAACTAGTTAGGCTGTAAATCCTGATGTCTGCTTTGGATTAGAAGTTTTATTTTGTAAAAGTATGTGAAGTTCTGTGTTTCACAAGACCTTTAGAAAGTTCTGCATCTTTCCAAAGTCAAGATTGATGTATCTGGAAGGTTTCTTTGGTAACACAGGCTAGGTATTTCAGGATATTGCATGTGCCTAAATACTGTGGAATTCAGTGGGTCATAAAACCACTTAGAACTTGAAACAATTTTGAACCTACAAACGGCTTGATTTTTTTTTTTAATAGAAAATAGATTCAGCAAACTCCCTGTTCAGCAAACCCTGCAAATAACCAGAATATATATATTAAAGGAGTAGGTGAGACCACCAGTAAAAGAATAATAACTTGTTTTCTGCAAGAATTATATTTCCTGAGTGAGTATCCTGAGTGAGTGGGTGTGGGTCAGACTCTCCTTGTCAAGAGGCTTAAATGGTCTAAGTGTAAACTTGTGAGTGTAGATGGTATCAGTGTGCTGGGGCTGAGGGGAGGGCCAGAATAAGTGGGGGGTGGTTTCAGGTTCCCCAGCCCGGAGAGAGAAGTGCAGCATGGCTGGATGCAAGCTGCGGATTTCTTTGTGTAGGTCACCTGGTTCCCTCTTGTGTCTAGCACACTTCCTGGTATCATTAGAATTTTCTCATGGGTAGGGCTGGGACTGTCCAGCACACTCCTTTACAAGATAACCAGGCCATTGCATTTGTTCTCTTGTCCATGTTTCTAATTCCCTTCCTCTCTGTCATCTCCTGTCTCTAGCCATTGCAATGCTGCAGCACTCAAACTCTCCCTCTGATATGGGAAAATCTCCTTTCCTACACTCAGAAAGTAAAAACAAGCTTTCATCCTCTAAGACACACTTGAGAGTAAATGAAAGGAGGTGAATACCTATCTCATTAGCCAGAATCCCGTCAGTGCTCTGTGGAGGGGCTGTACCAATGCAATGTCAGTCATCACTTCAAACTGGTGAGGAAGGTTTGAGTTTTCATGATCTCAGAAAGAGATAGATGTGTCAGGAGCCTGAGGAGAAGCTGAGGGCTTTACAGTAAGTCTGTCACCTGCAAATCTTCATGGATTCCACCATATAATATAATACCAAACTACATCACTGTATTCAGCTGAAGAGTTTTATAGCATAAAGCTTCCTCCCTGCTCTTGAAGAGTCTTATGGTAAAGTACCACACTCCACAAAGGGCAGTATGAAGACATTTTTTACCTTAACTGCTGAAGGGTAAGCTACTCTTGTGGGATTCAGAAAACATACATTAGGTTCCCTGGCCAACCACAGATGCTTTAATTGAACTTGGACAAATCAGTAGGTTTTAGGCAGGGTCTTTGCTACTGATGTGTAAATGAGACATAAATCCTGCTTGCAGCAGGAGAATTTGTACGGATAAATAGCCATGAGGTGTACATGTACCATATTACTGAGGAGCTGTATAAATATCTCAGTGTATAATGACTGACCTAGTTACAGACAGTGGCCTTTTCCAGTCAGACATTTAATGCCAACAAATGCACTGTTTGGGTTCAGTTGCTTAAATGTCACTTGTCTGTGCTCACTTCAAGTCATGGGAGAAGCATCATGCCTTTGCCTTGTGATTCTTGCAGAGTTGTGCTGTTCTCAAATGCTGCACCTGCTCATTGCCTCTGTTAGTCATGTACTATGTGCCTTTGACTTCCCCCATCCTTTCTGTGTGTTACTGACTCTACAAAGGCAGTGGGTAGGGATCAGGCAATGGAAGAAGTAAGCAGGAGTGGCAAGGAAGCCTCAGTCCAAACACGACCCTTTCTGAGAGACATCTCCTTCTTCCAGACTTGACAGAACTCTTGGCAGGATGGGGCATTTGGAGGACATTGGGAAAGGCAGTCCGGAGAGCAGCTGGAAATAACTGTTGGGTCTTTGCCATTGAACCAGAAAGGGAAAGGTAGAGAGACTGGCCATGATTCTCCATGGCTGTTGCAAGGAGTCTCTGTTCCCTCCATTTTTCTTCACGAGGTCTTCATCTTCCAGTGGCTGAAGGTTTGCGGTCTGAATGGAAGAGGTAAGCATTCCAGATGGGGCCTGAAAGAGGTTCCCTCTGGAGACAGGACACAGAGCAGGATACATAGCACATGGTCACCAGCTGCATATATTTCTTCTTTACATTCATGCTTCTACTAGATTGTAGTGACTATCCATTCTTATACTAGGTTGCAGTTGTGAATCTGATGAGCCTCTAGTTCCAGCTCCCATAATAACAAATGCACCAGCTTGAAAAGAGCTCGCTGGGAGAGAAAAAAATATTTTTCTTCAGAAAAATATGTTTTGATTAAACAAAGAAAATCACAATCATATCCATTTTAACAATATTTCCTCTAGAAAGATAATTGGAATAGATTTTTATGATCATCTGGAATATTTACTTAGGAAAACTTCAAAACAAGATCACACTCTCTATTACAACAGAGTATTGTTTGATGCAGAACTTAAAATGAATAGTTTCAGTTAACGTGAAATAACACCTGGCCTCTCTGAGTTAATGACAGTAATAATAGACCATTTTAACTGCTAAGGCATGTATTACATGTTACTTTTCATGGCCTGCAAAGTAAAATAATAAAATTATCTGAAATTAAAAGACATTGTAAAAATTTGTGAAATTTGTAATTGAAGTTCTCTTCAGAATCTTATTATGTGAAATTTCTAAGACAATCTAAATGAGAGCATTCTCCCATCACACACATGCACATGCACACAAACACACAAGCAAACACATTTCCAGATGCTAACATTGTCCACAAGGTAGCAATTCAGAGTGCCAGCCATCTCTGCTGGTGCAGTCTGGGATTAAATAATGTCTACCACACCACTCTTAGGTCTAGATAGTCTGGTTATAATTGCAGAAAAGATCAAGATTACTTTGTCACAAATGCACTGCTATTGTCAGTGGTGAGGGAAGCCAGCTAGAAAATCAGCATTGCCCAGAGGACATGATTTGGTGGCCTAGCCATGTGGTGTAACTGTGTAGGTTCCAAATCCCATTCCTTCTCATGTTGGTCTGAATGCCACATGGAGGCGAGGTTTGTCTCTGTAGAGATGTTGGATTTCTCTTTACTGTGGCTACAGTTACTCATGTAGCCTTCTGGACAATGCACCGGTGTGGGCTTAGGAAGTAGATGTATTTTGAGTCACCAATTCTGTTCTCAGTTATTCTACTGACGTCAGTAACATGACTCTAGATTTATACCAGTGTAACTGAGAACAGAAGTTGGCTTAAAGTCAAGAACAGTGTCTCCTCTTCTCTGGCCCAGGACAAGCTGTTCAAGACACAATTGCTGGGCCAAATCCACAAGGGGAATGGACCCCAGTCTACACTGATGTGGTCCAGACACACAGTTCCCTCACCTTGCCGTTCAGTGCAATGATCAGTTGGCACAATACCTGAAGTCACCTTGTTCTGTGCTAGTCATTTCTTTCAGTGTTTGGGGTCTTCAATATAAGCCAGATAGCCCCAGTTCTCCATCCACCATCAGCTGGAGCAGGTGTTTTTATTTCAGTAAAGTGGTTCTTCTTCCATCGAGCAGAACTCTCTGTGGCTGCCCATAATGACCACATGCATAAATGAAAGTGATCTTGCTGAATGAGGGAGACAGAGACTTGTGCTAACAGTTTTCACCTTATGACCATCCTTATGAAGAAACTGCCTTTCCTGATGGTTCAGGGAAATGTGAATGGAATATCACTGTCTCTCTTGCCAGGCAGCTCCTTGGTGAGGGTGTTGTAATCTTCCTCCCAGACCATGTGCCCTGAGTACTGCTCAGAAGAGGCAGTGTTTGTGGAGATGCCCATGCATTAGGGCAGGTCTGAGGGAACACTTGGTTCTGATGCAGCACAGTATGACCAACCCACACACTCTTGGCAGTCCAAGCAGCTAGCAGTCACTGCAGGGCTCTGGGTTTTGAGCTTCCTTGTGGATGGATGCCATACAGAGAACACCACATGAAGAAACCAGCTCGCAAAGATGAAAAACATACAACCAAACTTCCTTCCCTGTCCCTTCCCTTCCCATCCTCAAGGGAAATGCAGTGCTGCGGACTTCAGACTGCTATGTAACTTGCAAAGGCACTGCCAAAATGCCACCGCGATGTGTCACGGCAAAATATTTCAGCCAAATACCAGCCCAAGGGGGGTGGAGGAACCAACCATCCCTTTCTGTATTGCAGCAGCACTGATGTCACACACTGCAGCCAGCTTTGCTGGTTCACCCAGCTCCTGCCTAGTGAAAACAGTTGACATTCAGTTTGTGCCAGGCCAGGAATAGTCTCTGTAACTTAACCTCCTCATCACAACTTGCTAGGCATGTAAGAGATCCCCTGAAAAAAGCCTCTTTTTTAGAAGGGAAGGGAGTTTGATTTCTGATTAAGCTCCTTGAAATCTGTACATTCATCAAAGCTTTTCCAGTAGCTTGTATCGGGTGGTGCCTACTGCAAACACCTGAGATGTTCCTCAGCATTTCCCAAGCAGTTTCAAACGTTCAGATTTGCTTTCTTCTATATTGAAAATAAATAGACTAAAATCACATATCCCAAATTTTAGAACTAGCTGAATCCTGAGCTAAATTCAGACATTGTACCTTGCTTGCAGGCTTCCATACTTGTCCAAATAGATAGGGAAATGTGATTTTACCGGGTTACCAAGCCAACTATAAACAGCTTTCTTTGCCCAGCAGTTTGGAAGGTGATGTTATACAAATATAAGGAATAGTTAGACCAGTACAGTCCTGCTATTTCAATTCAGTCCTTGCAATGATCTGCATCTTGAACACTTGGTGTAGGTACATCTTTTCCAGCTTGAAACATTACACTGCCCAAGTGTTAATGTTATGTCCAGGCAAGACAAGGATCTTCACAAGGGTTTCAGAGACAGTGACAGTCACTATTCTACTTTAATCAGTGGCGCTGAGTTGTTTTTGTAACAGTGACTCCATCTAGGAAAATAATTGCTGAGATTACATCACAATCCCCATGTTTATTGTTACCCTACTCACTTTTCAGCAAATGTTCTCAGTTTACAAGGGACAAGATGTTTCTTCAGACCTCTGTCCATGATATCTGAAAGCCAAGCTTCCTCCTAGTTCAGGCATCACCACCAATAAATAGTGATAAGCATTGTGCCACTGGAATTTAGTCAACAGCTCCGTTGATGAGTGTGCCAGAACATAATCACATGCTCCCATGGCTGTGTTGGCTTTGCACAGTTAAGAGTACCACAGAAGCAGTAAAATTGTAATTTAATCTCTGGGCACATCTCTGCAGCGAGGATGCCCTTTTACATCTGTCTACAACCAAATGTAGCATTTTTTGGTATTTCTTTGCTTCTACTTTTTTTTTTTTTTTTTTCCAGAAATCTTAAAAAAGACTGTGAAAAGTTCCAGTTGATACAAGCTTGTCCTTAGACTAACAGAGATAGCTTTCCTTCCTCAGATAAGGTGTAGGAGACCATCCCAGCAGGCAAGCTTTTGTTGCCCCTTTGGCCAGTGTGTTTTGACTGCTGCAGACTGACACAGACGTTTCCTTAGAGCAGGCTCTTCCTTCAGGAAAATCTACACTACCTACTTCTATGTCCCATTTGCACTACCTTAGTGCCAGAAAGTTCTCCCTGTAGGAAATAACTATTGTCTTGCAAGTATTAGACACACTAGCCTGAAATCCCTGGGGGTCTCCCCAGCAAATGGGCAGCAGCAATGTGTGTCTGCCATAGCTGAACTTTCCTTTAGCGTCTCCTTATTCTGACTCAAGTGCAGAAGCAAAAAGATGCTTTGTTTACTGCCCCTCACCATCCCAGCTGTCCACCTTTGGTCTTCTTTACAACAGAGGCAGTAAAAACAATGGGTTTTCAGGTCTCAGCTGCTTCAGTTCCCAGCCCAGCAGATGGACATCTGTCTGTCCTTGCTGGCAGTAGGAAGTCAGATGCAGCTGGAATGGAGGCACTCATTTTCCTCTGTAGTCCCTCTGGAAGGGTAGCACAGCTGGGAGGTAGAGAACAGCAGGAAAGAAGTCATCTGGTGGCCCAATCCCTCCTTTTAACCTGGAGAAATCACCCACCCTCTAGAGTGGGAAGACAGCAATGGTTATTGCTCACTCGGCAGCTGGTCTCTGGTGGGGCTACTGTGTTGAAGGTTGTTTGACTGTTGTCTGTTAGGAACCTGACTGCCTTCCACAAGGTACCAAACCCTCAAATTATCAGTGTGGGATGGATACCTGTCTCTTTTGGTAAGAAATTTTGTAAATCACTCCTGAAATCATTCTAAAATGTAAATGAACATATGAATGAATGAGTACAGCATGTGAGAAAATCTTCAGCTCGTGCAAACAAATGTCTTTGTTTTTGAATTGTAGAACTCAAGATCAAAAATGCTGAAGATTGGAAACATCCCAATATACTCCTTCTGTCACATCTACGTTGTTGGACTGTTTTTACCTCCTCACTAAAGATGGTCAGAGATGAAGCCAAATACAAGCATGAGAGGAAGTTCTAGAGTTGAGAAGCAAAATTACATGGCAGGTATGCACCTGAATTTCCCTCTCATGTAAGAGTTAAGCATCTCAGCCAAGAGCAGGATGGCCTTTCTCTGGTCTTTTTTTTTTTTTTTTCCTTGCTGCATTATACACAAAAATGTATGTATGGTAGGGAAAATGAAGCTCTGTTTTGAAAAATCTTTGTAAAACATAAAATCGAGAAGCTCTACTAAGCTCATTTTATTCTGGTGTATATCTACTGTAGTTCTGCATAAGTCATTGGAATTGTATGGCTGGGAGGACAGAATCAAGATTCACTATGATAATTTAAATTTATAAATAGGTTGCCCTATTTATTTATTTTTTTAATAATAAAGGAAGGTGAAGAGTGTTTTCATTTCAAGAAAGAACTGTCTGAGTTATCTCAGCTGAGTAAGCCTGGTTTCTCTGACTTTTCATACTTGGACGAGCACTGAGTCATTACTGAGAAAATATGTCATTTCCAAGAGTCGCATGGAGACATGACAAAGTGGAATTGTGGACCTGGACAGCTGGAGGGTCTGAAATCTGGATTTCATTACTCAGTTCGATAGTAGATTCAAACTGTAGATGGGGATAACCTCCACCTGTATAGAAGCTGGATGCTACTGTAGACGTGAACTTCGCTGTTTCAGATCATCACAAATTAATGAGGCAATTCTACTGGGAAATGGAAATACAGATCAGACTTTCTTTAGGGAGTGGGTTTTACATTGTTCTTGGAAATGCTCCTAAAGTGAGTTTCACTGCAGCGTATAGTCAATAGCCTGTTCAAGCCCTTGAGTGTGGGAATAAGTATCTAAAGAGTTTAGAGAGAAAACTCTAAAGGGTTTTAGAGTATACATTTCAAGTATAGCTGAAGGGTCTATTTTGCTTATATTCTTTCCATCCAATGATTCCCCCACCCTGTCTTCAGGCTGATGTGGATATAGATATTGCTGTGGGCTCTGCCTTCACATTGTATCCAGGGATTAATGGAAGGCTGTGTTATTTTATAATTATGTGGAATGGGTTACTATTTGCTCTCAGCTGTTTGGAACTGAAACCAAATGTTCTCTGTGCTCCTTTACTGGGACTGCTAGAGTCCCCTAGGCACTCCTGCCTTCTGCTGGCTAAGTTGATATTAGCAGGCTCTTCAGTTTCAATATTCCAACCCAACCATATCTGGATATGGGTGGCTAAAGCACTTTACCTCAGCAATATTTGCTTGGAACATGCTAATGAACAGTAAAATATTTTTTATTATTCTTTATGCTTTAGCTGCAGTGCCATTCTGCTTTTTCAAGCAAGGGCTGTGCTCAGGGTACAAGTCACAGTAAAGCTCCAGCCTGACATGTGGAAGTTCTTTTCTCAAGACATAGTGTGCAATGATGTACTGTGACATTCTTTGTTGAAATAGGTTTTCTTTTCTTTCATTACTGTTTTACCTTTTTTTTTTTTCAGCCAAAAAAAAAAAAAAGGCCAACCTCTTTAGCCAAACACTTGCACAGCACTTGGAAGTGTTAGTGGCTAGAGGTATGCAAGGGAAAGTACTTGAAATGTGGCTCTTAAGTCTTTGTTTAAGAACTAGAGTAAATAATCTAATGTGAAATAATTTTTAGTGACACTTTCCAATAACTAAACTATCTACTGTGAGCTACCTGAATTGACTGAAATAATTATTGTTTTTCATGTTGTTTAATGCAGTCCTAGCATTTTTTTAGAACACATGTAGGAGCAAATTAGTCAGTGACTGGTACATCTGGAAAATGCTATTTGTCTAATAGTGTTGCTGTATAAAAATGATAATTCATATTTTTTGGCTTTGCAGAGGAGAAAGCTTCCTTCACCTGTTCTGTAAGATGAATCAATGCGCAGCAGCCCTGTCTGGAGGAATTCCCTTATGCTTGTAAATCGCAAACGACTGGAGCTACCCAACACAGTCATCTGCCTGCTTGATACCTGAAATTAATCATTTGGATAATTCATTCATGACTCCCATGAACAATGCAGGGAAATAAGAAACATACAGAAGGACACAGTGACTCCTCAAGTATTGGGAGTCTTCTGGATGATGCAGACCGAGAGGTGAGCAGCCTCACAGACCGGGCTTTCAGAAGTCTGTGTGTGGCAGAACTTGAGGACTCTTACAATGAACCAAATCTTGCCATTTCCCCTGACCTTGCCCACCAGTTCTCTGCTAAATTTCATCCAGGGACATTAAACCATGCCATCAAGCTAACAGCAAGCTGTAACAAGCTAACAGCAAGAAACAATGAACATACAATATGGGCTTCAACATTCCAGCAGTTACCAAAGTATGCTCTGGAGGAGAAAAAGATTGCTAAAAATAATACCCTTGGCACAGAAAGGAAAAAGCTCAATTTGCCAGTCCCTGGTCCAAGGAACAATAAACATGTTTCAAAAGTGTCCTCATTGATTAAGACATTTGATAAGACTGCAAACCAAGGGTCAGGAGGTTCCCTGATAGCCATTAAGCAGCCCATTAAAAATAGCTTTCAAAAAAGTAAATTAAATCATGGAAACAATATGGCTTGCGGGGATGACACAGCTATTTTGAGCATCCACAAGGAACTTTCTGAATTTTCTGAGGACAGTCAAGACAGCCACTGCCTTACTGGTAAACACGAGCCACAGAAAAGACCTAATAAAATAGATCTGAGTTATTGTGGTTCTGATGGTTATTATCCTGTGCTGATTGAGATGTCAAAAATAGCCAAGTCAAATTTTTCCCGTTCTTCTAAAAAGGCTTTGAAAAACAAAAATATGAAAGTTAATGAGCCAGCAAAAAAAGGCAATTTTCTTCACAGTGAGAATAGTGCTTTTGAATCATGGAAAGTCCACCATAAAAAATTGACTGAAAAACAGGAAGTTGTTGATCTAATAACAGAAAAGGAAGGTCTTACATACCTTGAAGAAGTACCGTTTAGTAAAGGATCCCACACAAGTGAACATAAATTGCCACCTGACAAGACCACTGTTGCCAAGAAGCAGGAGAAAGATTTTCAAATGGAGCCACCACCACCAGAAACTGCATTCAGCACTCCCCTCCCAGCTGTATTTGTACCTCAGGGCCCCCTCCAATCAGGAACTGAATTTCATGCTGCTCTTCCTCCTGCACCCCCACCTAGGATCCATGTGCACCACGGTCCTCCTCGGCCACCCCCTGTCCCTCAGGCGCTTCCTCTTGCAGCTCCCACCCAGCAGAGCCATCCCCCAACACCCCCCATCCGCGAAGCTCCTCCTGTACCACTGCCCCCCTTGCCAGTGCAACTTTCCCCCCTTGCCTTGTCCCAGGCCTCCGTCTCACCCCAGTCTGTGTCCTCCAGGATGGTTTCATCCTCACCTGTGTCCCAGGCACCTGTCCCACCTCCACGAGTACACCCACCCACCTTAACTGAAGAGGAAGACATCAGTCCCCAACAGGACACCATCTGTCCACCCTGGAGGAGACCAAGGACTACAAAAGAGGCATATGAGAGGAGACAGACTTCAAAGGAGAAGTTCACAGCCAGTGATGAGACATGCTCATTGTCTGAAAAGATGACTGGAGACAAACCTGATCTGGATGTGACTCCTCTGGATAAACAGGCAAACTCCCCTGGATCAGCCAGTCCCACTTTCAACATCACCGAACTCTTAACACCCATCATACCACCAAAGCAGGAGGTGGACCCCATGGAAGGTGAGCTGATCCCGCTGACACCTCCTCCCACTGACAGCGTGGCAGAGAGGGACGATGAGGCGACCGGGTTTGGTGATTACAGGTCTCGGGATAGTTACAAGGCAAAAGCATCAAGTCTGTTATTCAACTTGAAGGATGTGCGTAAGCGTGTTAAAAGCATTTATACCCCTTCTCCTATGTTAAGGGCCCTGGAGAATAAAAATAAGACTAAGGAAAATATACAGGAGAATATAAAAGTGAATACCTCATCATCAACTTTGCAGGAAATAAGTAACAAAAATATTGCAGAGAAAGACGAGTCGAGTGATATAACTTCTGTATTGTCTGAGTGTGTTCATGAAAATGACAATAAAACTGATTTAACTGGACACTTTACAGACAATTACCTGACTTTGAGTTCACCCCAGACAACAGCAGACCTTTTATTTCACCAAACTGGAGACAATTTACAGCAAGATAATTCAAAATACAAAGAACTGGTTAAAAACACAAGGGAAAATGAAAAGATGTTCAGGCATCAATCAGAAGAACCCTATTTAAGAAAAAGTCTGCCGCATCCAGCACTGAAGGCATACAGTAGAGACACTACAGATACAACAGCTGGTCAACCTGTGCAAAAACCCAGCTTCCGAGCTGAGGAAATTGAGAGACAGGCTGGTCATCAGAATGAAAATTTTGCTTTCAGAACCCTTCCAAGCCAACTCTTACCAGCAGAGGATGTGCCTTACAGTGACATCCAAAGCAATGTGGCGGTCAGTGGCCATGAAGCACAAGGCAAAAGAAGCCCTAGCTCTTCTGAGCAATCTTTTGTCTCCACAGTAGAGCAGCCATTTCAGGAGGAGCCATTTCCACTGGATCCCCTGATACAGAAGTCAAGTCTTCAAGAAAGCCAGAGGACTAAGGGTGAAATGAGTGCAGACAGTAAGAAAAGCCATGAGGGGAGAGTGAAAGCAGCTGGGGAAGATGAACTTCAGTATTATGCTTGTATTAGCTCTGGTACTGGTGCAGCAGAGAGTAAGGAGGGTAGGGTTACTGGGAATGAACAAAGGAGCTTGATGAAAGAAAAAATAAGGCAAGAGAAGAAGGAAGAGGTCAATGGCATGGATTCTGCTTCTGACAGCATAAAGGACACCTCCACCCCAAGGTCTGAGGAGACACAAACACAACCATCTTCAAGCTCATCCAAACCCTGTCTGTTTATGATCAAAGATAACACATTCAGGTCACCTCAGGTAATAAGGACTGTCAAGTTGCCCCTGTTCAGGTCCTTTTCCCTGGACGATACAGTGAGCAGCAGTTATAAGGAAATGGAAGGTAGATTTGCATCCTCAGCAGCACACAGCAAGCAGCCCCGAGACACGTTGCATGCCCAGGAGCGAGGCTGGTCGGCACTGAGGCGCAGAGGGCAGCAGAATGTGAGGGAAGGCGCGACTGACAAAGAGAGAGATGCCAGTGAGTCTGGATCTACTTCAGCAACACTGGACCCCAACCTTCTGGAAGATACAGAGAGCTTTTCTTTGGGGAAGCTGATGGAAGAAGATGAAGAGACGTGTGCTTTGTTAAATAAAGTTGGGAAAATGAATGAGGAAAGTGTCTGCAGCAGTAAAGAGAAGTCCCAGATTAGGAAGGCAAGACACAGCTTAACACAGCCAAATTTGGGTCTGGAAAATGACCAAGCACAAAACAACCCCAGCTATCCCATAGAAAGGAAGACAAATTACTTTAAGAACCATCATTTATCTAAGCGCAAAGGTGGTTCTTGTGCGAAAAAAATAATAACTAGGGAGACAATTTCCCCTGTGACTGGCTCTGTATCAGAGGACCACATATATTCTCCTGTATCCCATGAAGTTTTAGAGGATATCCCACACATGGAAGGTGGGTCAGTTTTATTAGACAGTCTTGAATGCTCTGCTGTTACAAGCCCCAGGTCAGGAAGCACGATGCACTCTCTTGTTGCCAGTTTACCATCAGATAAACCAACAATTTCTAGCCTTGGAGAAACAGAGGATGCTGTAAACCCTGCCTTGTTGAACACGACACTGAAGAGCCAAGCAGATATGTCTGCAGAAGAGATACTTGATTCAATGCAGAGACATCTACTTGATTCTGCAGGGGAAGCTGAGAGATTGGAGCTCAGGGGACTTGGGGAGAGAGGAGCAGGCAAGCCTCCCGCTGTGCCACCAAAAACAGAAAAGGCACTGCGGCGGGCCAAAAAGCTGGCAAGCAGGAGAAAGAAAATGGAAGAGCAGCAGAAAAAACATCAGACAGAACATACGGATGCTGTAGGGAGAAAGCCTTCTCATTCTGGACAGGCACTAGTATCTCCCTCACCCCTGGGATATTCCCCTCTCCATCCTGTCCCTCACTCAGCTTTTCCTCCTACAGAAACCAGTATAGGAAGACCCACTGGTGCATCAGCAGTAAGCCCTTCACCTTCTTTAACCCAGCGTAAGCTCCTCCAAGACCCTGACTCTGGCCAATACTATGTAATTGATTTACCAGCTGAAGTTAATTTGAAGACATTTTATGACCCAGAAACTGGCAAATATGTTCAAGTCTCAGTCCCTTCCTTGGAAGGGAATTTATACCCACCCTCCTCTTCAGAAATTAGGAATTCTCCCTACGCCGCCTACCCTAGAGTGTTGCCTTTACCAGCTTCATCTGTAGCAGTGCTGAAGTCACCTTCTCAGCTCTCTGAACCTATGTGGTTAATGCCAGCTGTGCCAGGAGAACCACCCGAAGATGGTCAACAGAACTACAGAGGCACTGAAGCTGTGGATACTCAGCCGTATATTGAACCTGTCTCTTATTCCTATGGCCAAGATGCTGAAGAAACTCAGGTTCACTTAGGAAAGGACATGAGCCCAACCCCAAATACAGACCTAGTGGCCCTCACTGATTTAGATGATTTTGTTGCTGAAGGGGTATCCTGAAAACCAAAATAACAAAACATGCTAGCTAGTGTTTTTAAGATCCATTCGGACAGACACACGCACACACAAGCACATGCAGATTTTGTTTGTACAACACTATATTTCTGAACCTCATTGTGGTCTGGGTGGGAAGGAAAACGAAAGCTGACCGTGTTGAAAGATGCGAGGTGATGATCACTCTTAAGAAGTGTGAAACTGAGTAAGCCCCAAATCATCAGTGAGATAAAGGGGCAATGCCAGCTAAACAAATGAATACAACAGTATGAAGCCACTGCTTGCTGCTGCTGCTGCTTTGCCACTATAGTGGCTGGGATTGCCAAAGCAAGAGTCCTTTTGCCCAGATGGGTTGCATGATATATGACAGAAAGTAAAACCTGTGAAACCATCCTGTCCATGCTATGAGACCTAGGAAAGATTCTGCATCTCACAAACTTTCCTCACACCCTGCCTTCGAAGTGTATTGACAGATGGAAAGCCTATGGCTACAAATATGCCATAATAAACCTGAGAGTCATTTTTTGCACACACACTGATTACCCAGATGTTATTGACAAGAAGATTGTATACTGGATGCACTATACAGCAGTCATATCAAAGAAACATTTAAACAACCAGAATACATTTGCAGCTGCTCTGGACTTCTCATATACCTTTGCAGTATCCACTAACAAGCTGCTGAATTCTTTATATTTGTTGATAATCTCCAAATATGCTCTTCTACAGTCAGGGGTTATTTATAATGCAAATTTAAACTTCAACTTATCTCAATACTTGGCCTGAAATATTTTGGAAAGGTGCAAGGCTGAATGAAATCCCTTAACATTATTTAATTTTTTGTTAGGATGAGAAGACTTTTGCTTATTATAATTGAAATGCTTTTTGGTTTGGTTTGGTTTTAGGCTCCCACTGAAATACAGTGCTAACTTTTAAAACCTGAAAAATATTGTTTCTAATTTTGGTCTCATGCAGTCTGTGATTTAAAGAAAAAAAAAAAAAAGAAAAAAAAAAAAGGAAGAAGAAGAAGAAAAAAGATACAACACAACCAAAGTACTAATTTCTAGAAAAGTGCTTCTTTGAATTATCACTATTCTTTGAAAGCTCTATATCAAACTATAACTCATCTTTGTTTAAGATCTTCTTTATCATCATAGATAATAGAAGAACCTTGGTGAAAAATGCAATGTGCCTGCTTATAAATATCTAAATTTGGAGTATTGTTTTCCCTTTTTTTTCCATTTCATTTGAATAGTTTTCTCTAATTAAAATTGAAGTACAGGAGTTCAAAGGAGCAGACATTAATGTCTGCAGACATTAAAATTTTTAAACAATTTTGACTTGGAATTCAGAAAATGCAGTCTCCCCTGTGACGGCTCATTTTGAAAGAAATAAAAAAGAAGAATGAAAATCAGGAGTGTTTCAGGAATAAGGATCGCATATCAGGCTGTTATGTTAAGATAAATGGTACCTATTATGAATATTTTTCTTCTATTTTGGTCACAAATATTTTACTAAACTGACATGGGGCCATTTTTGTTGTACTGTTACCAGCTTTCACTGTATATTGCCTAATGCCTATCCAGCGTAGGGCAGAATGTCATCATGTTAAAATACTGAGAAATGGATTTATTGAAGTTTTCCATGGTACATTTAGACAGACTATGTAATCTGAAACCCTAGCAGAGTGTGCAAGCCATGGTTTTGATTTGATATTACAAATGTAAATGCCCTTAACAGCCACAAGTCAAGAACCAGACAGGTGCTCAGAAGACATAATAAAAGCATGCTGTCCAAGGGGAGACTATGGATACAAAGTATCTGTGCACAGACAAGAAAAAATGGTGATTTGATAAACAAAACATATTACCACATTAAAGCAAACAAACAAACCAACCTTTTGTTTGATTAACCGTTGTTCATTTTGTAGATGTGCACACTTATCCTTCTGCACCCTTTGCTTTTGAGTTTCTTCTTTTAGAGTGGAAAGTGGGATCCTCCAGTATACTACTTGAAGGTATGTTAGGAAATCAGGGAGCATTTTTCACTTCTTGTAAAGGCAAACTGAAACCTGGGTGTCTGAAGAGGAGCCAGTCATGACTCAGATACCAAATACTTTTGGCCAATCTTTTCTGTTAGCTTATGGGAGCTGCATTCACAGCAGAGTGGCTCTCTGAACTTGCACATGTTCCAGAGAGAGTTTTGTCCTAAAGAATTTGTAGCTAAATGAAACAAACACAGAACTGGGAAACTTTGAAAACAAATATGAATAGGTTTCTTATCATATATCCAGAGCTGTCCCCAGAGTGATTTGCTACAGGGAGTGATTGATGTTATACAAGTGTTGCGCCAGGTCCCAACTCAGTAATGATTCTGTTTGAGGATGGACCCATCAGCAAACCTGTCTCTGGCCTAGATCATACTATTGGCCAGCTTTTTGCTAGTCTACAACACACACACACACACACACACGAATATATGTACTGATAAAGCTGCTGCTATAAGAAGACAGCAGTAATGCCTGTGTTGGTGAACACAAAATGTGCATTAAAAGGTGGCCAAGTTACATCTTTTCAAATAACAAATATCTACCTTTCCATGTCCATTTCTGTTTTTGTTTTTTTTTTTTTGTTTTGTTTTGTTTTTTGTTTGTTTGTTTTGTTTGTTTGTGTGTTTGTTTTATTGTTTTTGTTTTTGTTTTAATTTCTGCTTTGGGAAATCTGTGTCAGATGGACAAAATAACAGCTGTGAATTGACCTCTTTGGGAGAGGAAATTATGGGAAATGTTCAACAGCCAGCAAGACAGTTCCATAAGCACTGTTCCATATTCTCCCACATGCCTAGTGACAGGACGTGGGGAAATGTGCTAAAGTTGCACCAGGGGTGTTTTAGGTGGGATATTAGGAAGAACTTCTTTACTGAGAGGGTTGTGAGGCATTGGAATGGGTGCCCAGGATAGTGGTGAAGTCACCATCCCTGGAGGTCTTTAAAAGACGTTTAGATGTTGAACTTAGCAATGCGGTTTAGTGGAGGACTTGTTAGTGTTAGGTCAGAGATTGGACTTGATGATCTTGAAGTCTCTTCCAACCTAGACAATTCTGTGATTCTGTGATAATGCCAATGACCATGACATTAAATCACACAATAAAGGTGTCTAGGCAAACTAAGCTGGTTTCTGCCTTGCAGGAGCCTGTGGTAGCTCTGTGTGTAAGGAAGCCCAGCAGACTGTAAGGAGCCATTGCTTTCACTGCTCCCTTCTCTTGCAGTAGCCATTTTTGCATGCTGCATTTCTGAGACTTGGTTGCAATGGCTGATCTTCCCTGAAGGCATGACAGAGGCAAACAGGCCCAGGGAGAGTCACAGGTATCCCTCAGCTTGGCCCTGAACCACCTCTCTTTGAACCTTTCTCTTTCTGGGGCAGCCCCAACACCTTTCACTCCCCTTGTCACAAAGCAGATGTGGACTGCTGTCCTGCAGCCATGGCTCTCTCCCAGGAGCTCAGCTTTCCTCATGAGAAATGCTGCAGTTGTTTGAGAGTGCGGTTTAGTTGAAATGGCCTGCATGTGTGGATTTTAGCATCTCCTTGTGTGTTCAGGGACTTCCTAAACCATTTTTTTCCAAGAAAACGTGTCATTATTAATTAATAAACCAAATAAATGGGAGTTATTTTACAATACAGGAATGACTTCCAGTCAGCTTTTTCATTGTAATTATATCTCTGTGTAGTTTTATCTCCAGCCATGCCCACAGAAACAGTCGACAATGGAGAAGTGTGTGTGTGTGGTATACAATCAAAGGTCTAGGAGATGACTGCTTGCAGGACTTCCTGCTGCTTTCTAGCCCTCCTACAGAGGGGGAGCCAGAGGCTGGGCAGGAACACCCCACGCCAGCACTCCTCCATCTTTCCCACCACTCCGCCACATGAGGGCCGCGGCCTGGCCATCGGCCCTGCGGTGAGGTGCCAGAAGTCGGGCCAGCAGCTCTGGAAGAGGTGGCCTTCCTGCCACCACCCACAGGCAGAAAGGCTTTCACACCTCCCTGTCCTGCAAGTTACCAGGTGTCTAGTTTGGTGTAACTCAAGTTTGTCACTACCAACCACTCCTCCAGACTATATGCGCTCTCCCAAAGTGATGGTTTTGCATTTCTCCTCAATTTCTCTTATTGTTTGATGCATTATAAAACACAGCTGAGACTCTTCTCAAAGAGGTTTCAGCTCAGTCCTTGTCCAGACTGGCAATTTCATTCAGATCTTTCCTGCCTTGAACCCTGACTAGCCAAGCAGTCCTCACTGACCACGAAAATGTTACTGTGATTTGATTATAACAGAGCATAAACAGAAAAGATTACTATGATTTACCAGAAATATTTTGACAGATTTGCATATCTGTATTTGGGGGTATAATTTGTTTCCTTCCTGAGAAAATAAAGACCTGTAAGTTTGATCTTCAGTCTCACTCAAAGCTGCATCAGAAGCTGGTGATATTGTATGAGATGGGCTACATGGGCTCTAGTGAATGCACACAAATGTGTAATTTGGAGAAACTGATGTGCATCATCAGTCATTTTTATTAAGGAAACGCTGTTTCAGAGCCTTACAGGAGACAGAAAGAACATGGAACACTTGAGTAAATTGAACTTTAATTTTATTTATTTATTTATTTATTTTTGTGAAATGCCCATTATGACAACAGAGGTCAATGATTAATTTATTTTGTCTTTAGGCTGATTATTCTGGTCTTATGATGATCTTATATTCACCATTGTCCCCTGGTATTAAATATAATAATGTAATTATGGGGTTTAAATGGGTAGGGAATGGATGAAAATGACCTGTGGTCTTCCCCTGCTTCTTTTTGATATTCTCAAAGTTTTCATGATGTTGATTTTTTGCATTAGGTAGTCAGGTCTTCAGTACTCTATGGGCAATTAGAGACTTGTTTCTAATATGCTACTCAACATACTTAGAAAGCAGCATTTCAATAGTGCAGAAGAGAAATCATTTATGTCCCAATTGCTTAAAGCTCTGTGTTTTTATTAAAGCAGATTTAACTCAAGTCTTTGGGGAAGCAGCTTGCCGTGCTAAAAATTCCGCACCTTCTCATGTCAAAGTCCACTAGCAAAGATGAATATATTGAGACCTGAAGTACTTTGAAAGGAAAAGAGGAATATGCTCTGAGATGCAGGGTTGAAAATCTTTGAAATCTTTCAAGTTGAACTCTGGCAAAAAGCCAAAAATGTTCAAACCTGGGATACACTTTCAAAAGCCAGGGCTTGTCAAAGTCAGTCTTGCCCTATACAGCCCAAACTCTTCCTTATGCTCACTTAGACTCCCTTTTTCTGGAATTCCCAGTGTGTACCCACTCCCACCCACTGGCATTCAGTCAGAGCCTCATCGTCTCTCAACTGCCCCTCCAATTTCTTAAAACTGGCACAGGGGATGACAGCATTCAAAGCACCAAAAAAGGGCACCCTGCTTTTTTTGCTATGCTAGTTAACAGCAGGTGTAGTCATCAATGACACAGAGTGCTTCAGGCAAACCTGAGTGGCCTTGTTCAGGATCTTTCTTACATTGGCAGACCACAGATGGCACAGTCAGACTCCCAAATAAGCAGCGATCCTTCCTTCTATTCCAAGCACTGATAAGCTGCAGAGGATATGGAATGAATCTGGGCCAAGGGAGACTCATTCTGTGACTGCACCAAGATTGCTGAAAGTCCATTAGCAGAATCAGTTTCTGCTGGCAGGCACTGCCTGGATCAGGTCTCCTGGGACTGCATCCCTTCCCAAGGAATGTGGATGGAAACATTTCAGAATTATTTGGTGTCAAAGCTGGCTATGGCTTCTCCAACAGGGAAAAGTTGGAAAGAAATTATAGGAGAGTATCATATTGCATTATAAGATAAGACAATCTTATTGTTGAGAATACTTTGATACATGGATGTAGGCTTATATATAGATGTATCTAGGTATGTCTACATGTCTATATATAGTTATAGATATAGTATTTATGTTATAACGAAATGTCTGGACATGATCTAAACAGTGGCCTTGAACTGTCCTTTCCTTCTCCCACCTGCTGATCTGCGTGTCCTGTTACTTGCAGGGTCTGTCCCAAGGGAGCTCCACTTTCCCTGGGGCTTCCCATGTACCCTGGGCATGTTCCCCTGTCCAGGGAGGAATAATATTTATCTCTTTCCATATTCTCATCCAGGAATGGGGGGGGAGGGGGGTGTACCTGGGATGCCCCCATCCTTCTGTCTGGCATGGTGGAGGAACAAGCGACTGCCCTTCCCCTCCATGAAGCCACTGCCTTGCCAGCCTGAGACACAAACACCTCTCCTGGCTGTGAGCTCAGCCCCAGCACTCCAACCCTGCAGCGTGACCGGCCCCAGCGCCAGTTCGGCTGACAGGCAAACCTCTCAAATCAGCAGCCACTTGAGCCCTCACATAAACCAAGCAAGATCAAATACCAGCTAAAGTGCTGGCCCTGGAACCTACTGGCACAGCATGCCAGTCCCAACAGTTTCCTAAGAGCAGCAAACTTCCCTGCTTAACTACACAGCTACATGTACCTCGTACTGCTGCCTTGGTACCTGCCCTGTGGGCCGCAAACCTCGGCCTCCTGCCCACATTTGGGTTTGTCCACTGCTCTCTTCTGAGCTGAGAAATTTCTTGACTCATTTTCTACTTGCTTACATATATGTGTAAGTAAACAGTCCTGAACCTTTCTTTTGGCTTGAAATAAAATTTTAAAGAAAGCATTCATTAAGAATTATGCATTTAAAAAAAAAAAAAAATGAAACTAGAGGAAAAGCATTCAAGTCTCTTAAAATATTTCCAATAATACAAAATGATTTGTTATTTTGTGGTTTTCTCGACTGAAAATTGTCTTGGCTTCGTTAATTTTGTGGTCCAGTTTGACGTGAGGAAGAGCTGTCACCAAAATGTCCATGTGAGGGGGAAACAGCACCCGACCCAGGCCCAGACAAGGCTCCCAGCGCCGGCTGCCAGTGCTGAGCCCCTGTGGAGCTCCCTCTTGTGCTGGACCGTCCCTGTCTCTGGGTACAGCTGCGTGAGACCAGCTCTGTGAGGACATCTTGTTATTAATGCTGGGGGGCTATTCCTGATGCTAACTAACCGTGTTTTCAAGTGGTAGAGGAACTCGGTTGTGGTTTTATATCCTTCTGGGCATCCAAGACATGTTTAATGGTGTGCAATATCTGCATCCCTGGAGTATAGTAAGTGAGGTTATCTGATCGTACTCAGCAGGACACTAACCACGTGGTTTAGACTTGTCAATTTTTAAGCTTCTCATCTGAAAAGCCCAAACAACAGCCTGGTCTTTGAAAAGCTTCTGGCCACATCTGTGCTGTGAGAGTGGCGCTGATGTAAGGGCAATCGTGCATTTACACTGCGCTTGAAGCATGCCTTCAGGCAGCAGAGCTTCATCGGCTTTGTACCATGGCAGGAAGCCCACCCTCTAAATAAGTGTAACCCAAGGGGTAAAACAAAGGCTTTGTATGTGTGCCTGCATTCATGCTACGGGTGGTGCTGGAACAGCCTCGTAGGCCAAGGCCATGTACCCCGATAGGGCTGAGCAGGAGGAAGCCTGTGACATCATAGACAGAGCAACATGTACACGTTCCAGACACAAAGACTATGGAACCAAGACCACGATGTTGCCTTCCCACGAGGTGGGGGTAGGAGCAAGGTGTCTCCAAGACCTTGGCTCCTCTTTCCTGGCTCATTAATGAGATTCTAAAATCTAATTAATAATGATGACTCTTGTTTGCTCATCCCTTTCCTGCTTTCACAGTGTGTGGCAAATGATGTATTGTAGAACAGAGGAGAACTGGTGTCACTGAAGTCATTTTTATTTGTATCTAGCTGATTCATACAGCTGGTGCAAAACCATAGCTCTTAACTCACTGGATTATTTTTCAAAAAGCTTGATTTGATCTGAGCTGGATAGAAATTGGAAGGTTTCCAGAGTTTCCCATAAACAAGAAGCTTCCCAGCCTCAGCATCTCTCTAGACACTTGACATTTGTGCAGAGCAGCAGACCTAAGACATTTTAACAAAACTTATTGAATCCAACTACCACTACCTCAAAAGATAATTTCTGCACAGATCTCATGATCCATTTCTGTGGGACGACCAGCGTCACCTGTATCTTCAGACGTACTGCTTCTCTTCTCTCGTGACACTGCAATGCAGCCAAGGCAGCGTGGCATGGGGCAGCAGAGTGACACAGGGGTGGTTTGTGAGCCCTCACTGAGGGGACAGCAAGGCTCCCACAGAATGGAGGCGGTTATTAGAGTAGACCTCTTAGCAAGAGATATCCTCATTGGCTGGCTTGTACTGGAAAAAAATTATTTACATGCTGAGTAAGAACTGATCCTCCTTCCCTCCCTTCCAGCCTGGCCACAGGCCGTGAGCTGTGTTGCACAGGCTCAGAGCAGGGCAGGGACAAACACTGTGCACTCCTCTAAAAGCAAGTCCTGAGCCCTCTAGAGGGAAAGCCCACCAAAAAGGGATGAAGCTGAGGTTTGCTAACACCTTGCCCCCACACATACACACAGATGAATGCCTGGCTGCTGCTGGTTAGTCTGAGCAACAAGCTGCAACGTGGATTTGGATGACTCCTGGGTTCAACCCCACAGGGGGAGTCCTCAGGTGTTCAGCTTCCTGAGTGGGATTTTAAAACTTTCCTTTCTGACCCCTGTTGGACTGTGACTGTGAAATCCTACCTGGAGAACTCCTGACTCAGTCCCAGTTAGGTTTAGCTGTAAACAGGATAAATGATTTGGAGGAGAGAGGATTAGCCTCATTCTCCTGTAGATCTTCCTTCCCTGCCAGCAGCCAATTTCTTGCACAGTGCTACAGAAAAATTTCTAATAAAAATGAACAACTCCCAGGGACACTCCTATCCCTTGCTGTGCCAAAGACTGGTGATCACATCAGCATCTTGCATCTCAGTTCTCAAGCATCTGCCAAAGCCTGATGGCTTCAGCCAGCACAACGGAGCAAGGGTGAGCCAGCTGTGATATAACAGGCACAGCTCAGGTTCCTGGGGAGTCTTCTTTGCAGAGATGGGCTTCTTCATTTAATGGCCCTTGGATCTTATTTAACACATCGGCTCATGTACCATGTGGGTGTAAAGAAGCTGTGTGTATATAATAAAAAACCTCAGCTGATTCAATAGCTAGGGGAGGCCTAATAAATTTGCCACTATAGCAAGTGTTAGTCTCTGGGGCCAATACCGAATGCTGGAGTTTAATAAACAAAAATTCTGAAGCAGAAGAACCAAAAGGTAAACCAGTTCACCTGACAAAGCAAACACAATGCAATCAGAAACAAGTTTACTCCTGGCTTCCAAGGACCAGTGTCTCAGGCTGGCTGTGTCAGGGCTGCCTTCCGATGGCCTTCCTAGCGCTGCTCTCAGGATGCACTTGCTGACCACACCAGCAGAGATCTTGAAACCATGGTCCCAACCTGAGCTGAAGGGCACGGCCCAGAGTACACATGAACCCGTATACCAGAATAGACCTTGGCAGCTAATGAGCTGTATTTGCCCAGGCCCCAGCTTTCAGCCCCATCAGAACAGAGCTGGGGGGGAATTAGGGCTGGAAGTGATTCAGCTTGCAGAAAAGAGCTTCATTTTGTTGCTCTGCATGTGAGAGAATTCTTCTGGGCTAAAATGACTCAGGTGGCAGTATTTTTTTTTCCTTCTCTGTTTCATATTATTATCATATTTTAAATATGATAATATTATGTATCATATTATTTTATCATATTTGTAAAATATTATCATATTTTACAGCAGTATTGCAAAAGCAGTGGCTGCAGAAGAAACCATCAGGGTTAAATACTGATAGAGTTGTGCAGGCCAATATTTCAGATTCTGGTGAGTTTTAGCTGTTACTTGTTTACCACAGGAGACCTGTCACGGTTCCAAAAAATGATGCTCAGACGTCTGAGATAGCAGATCAGCACCTACTTGTCTCATGGCAGAGAGCTCAGGGCAAGCAGTAAGGACATTGTGGTTGGATTATTAAAATATTGTTGACACATCACTCTCAAATAAGACTAGATTTGCTACATGCCAAAGGGATTTTCATTCTCACAGGCCAGATCTATGTAAAAATTTCATTGGTTGGTATCAGGAAAAGATGGTATTTTGCGGTAACACAGTTCCCTGAAGTCAATATTTCACTGCAGTGAAAAGGAAGTTTTTAACTGGAAAGAATAAAGCATTGTTTACTGCAGAGGCTGCTCTTTTATTTATGGTAGGGGTGTCAGAGTCTTCAGCAGAGAGGTCTGAATTATGTACTCAAAGCTCGGGTATAAATTCAAGGCTTCTCACTTCCCCCGGTTCACACGCTGCTCCCACCGCACGGACAATCAGGCGCAACAGGATCTTTATCGAGTGGCAGCTCCTTTAGAGGCAGAATGTGCCACAGAAGCACACCACAAGCATTTCATCTCCATCCTCTGCTCCCTCGTGGTCCGCCCAGCAGCAAATGACTTCCTCCCGCACTGCCCCGGCTGGTTTCTGCTGCAGGGAGGCAGGGAGCGTGGTGGTGGAGGAGGAGACATGATCTGAGGCTTTTATTTGCTCTCTGAAGTTTGGGAGAGTAGCTGCCCTGCCTGCACAGGAGGGCTTGACAGCATTCAGCATTGGCTCTCATGTCTTCAGATCCCCATGTTGGTTTTTAGAGCTGTAGGAAAGCCTCACTTCAGCCCTAGTGAATGCAGCTCTCTCTTAAGCAAGCACAAACTGCCTGCAGATACAGACTTTTGTCCTTGGCCCTGAAGTGGGACAGGGTGGCCCCCCAGGAGGTGGGGAGAAAGCCATCCCCAGCTTGCCAGGGGTGGCAGCCTGGAGGGAGCACAGAGGAGATGGCACTGATGGCAAGAGGGAAGAGTTTGATGGTATACCAAGATCTTTTTCTGCGTGCACATGGCCTTCAGCATCATTGTAAATAATACTCTTAATAAAGAGCCAATTAGCCTAACAATCTCATTACTATCCAGCATGCAGCATGGGAAGCACTAGCCTACGGCATAACTGAGCAAAGGTGCATTCACTGCTTCCCATTTCCTGCTATAATGTGGGTTGGCATAAGGAGGTCTAGACAGATGTACAAGGCGGAAAACATGTGGAGGGCTGCAAGGATGGCATGCAGCCTCGTAAAGGCCCCAAGGCCCAGCAGGTTGCACCAGCCCCATTAACAAACCCAGAGCAACGCGCTGCAGGGAACAGGCTCTGCAAGCTGTGTGTGGGGCAGAGTTGGAACTGTGGAGCAGAGGCAGCAGACCTGGGAGCTGGCCCATGTAGGGAAGAGATGAGAGGAAGTCTGATCTCTGTGGGTGTCTGCAACTGCTTGAGGAAAGAAAGAGCCTAGGACTGGAGATGCTTTGCCAAAATCACACAAGTGATACTTGCACAGAGGCTGTTCACGTTGCACCTGGCTTATGCCTGTCTGGAAATGCTGAGAATTACTTCATGGGATCTAGTGATGAATGCAGTGAGACATTACGAAAAAATCTTTGTCTTACATCTGTCCCTCATACCTTGGGCTTCCAATTTTCCATCACAGAACTGAAAAAGTGTCACGCAGGCTGGTGTCGGAATAGTCTGCATGTAAATCATCCCCCTGGGCTAGGGCCTCGCACGCTGGGGTTCAGCCTGAGTGGCTTTTTATAGCTGAGTTATAAACTTTTAAATGCCAGGCTTAATCAGAGTTACCGAGATGGCCATTACAGGAGTGGTTTAAGTGGCACAGCCCTGATATATGACAGCACAGGAAGAGGGCAGGTGGTTCATTCACCCTGTGCACTGTGTCTGGAAAGGAGCAGGGCCTGGTGGCAAGAAGAGGGCATGACTGAGACACATCTCTTGAGTTTTACTCTTGCCCTTGTGCCCCTGCTCTGCAACCAGAGCAGCTAAAAGACCTGTTGGTGAATTGGTCTAGGGTTTAACAGGGTGTCGTGCAGTCTCAAAATGTACAAATTTGAGTGCTTCACTTGTGGCTGACTTTGTGGAACCCACAAAATCATACTGAACAATTGTAATCACAGCTACAGTACAGACTGAAGAGTCCAACAGGCTTTGAGCTCCAGCTTCTGGAGAGGCTACAGCAGCTTTGCTCGTACAAGGAAGCTCTGCAAAACTTGGAGCCCCTTTATTTTGCAGATTGTGAGACACTCAGGCTGCAGCTGGGACAACATCTGCAACATTACTCTGCAACATCCCTGTGGTCTAAGCAGAACTGGACAGTCATCAGAGACAACTGGACAGAGGGATTGATCTGAATGAAAACAGGACAGGAACTTTTCAGGGTGTTCTTTCTAAATTTATTCATGTATTAAACAAACAGAAACTACAGCATGCATCAGATACTTTTCTTTATTGTACAACGAAACTATGGACTTGTTTGTAATTGCAGCATTTCCAGCAACATCAGGCAGACTTGTCGATGTTATCCAGTTTTGCACAGTCACTAGAGTGTCGCATCATGAATTATTAAATCAGTGCTTCGTGGTAATACATAATTTCTTATCAATTATTCATGCTAATGTGCGTGTAGTTTACTTAATTGTGTTATTGACGATCAAAAGTAATTTCCTGAAAATCCTCAAGGACAGAAAATTTAATCAGCGTAACTACTTTTCAGATGCAATGCTGTTAAGTATTCTTAATTTGCTCAACAATTCACTTATTTATGTACCTTTCTGGAGGAAATACGAGTTTAATCAAACAATTAGATTGAAGAGTTAGTGTACAGAAGGGCTGAAGTTCAACTGAATGCAAGGTAATTATGTTGAAATGAAGTTGGGCCTGCCTCTTTGGAGTGGAATTATTTTTTCTAATCTTTTTTTGGGGGCCATGGAAATCTCAAAAACAAATTATGACTGGGACAATCACTAAGAAACCAGTCATTCTCTCTTCTCCAACTGCCCCCTGCAACAAAGCACATAGCAATCTATTTATTTTGGTGGAAGAAAAAGGTTGTTGCTGTCGTTCAAACTAAGCCATAATTTGCAGTCAGGGAAACAGTCTCCATTTACAGTTCAGCAGTGCAGCTCCTGAAGCTAGAACACACCAAACGAACACAGATTGCTGCATGTTCACTTCTGCAATTAGGACAGTTCATGATTGCCAGAAAAAAAAAGCACACAGTGTGACACATGTAAAGCAAATTGACTCCATTTGATGGATGTGGGCCCTCTCCCTGTTTTTGTTGTACTTGGGCCTGAGGACAGATGCAGTGCTGCCCTCCCTGATGGCTCGTGTCCAGAGGAAATGAATCCCACCCTGGGGGGATGCCTGGCACCCTTCACTCCCAGCACAATGAAGGTACTTGGTGCTGTCAAGCCATCCCTTGAAGACCAGAGCTTCCACCCTTTGAATGGGATGTGACACCATGCCCTTCCTGGAGAAAGGTAGGTGTGCACCACCAGAGGCTCCTGTGAACCCTGGAGAAGTCCCAGGTTCTGTGACATTTGTGGGCTGATATTACTTGGATGGGGGGCAAAATTTTTGCTGCCAACCTTGCTTTGGGCTGTCTTTCCAAGCACATCATCAAGCTCAGACTCTGTGAGAAGCTGAGCGCAACCCAGCACAAAAGGGTGTGCACCATGGATTGCAGGAGGTCCTTGGCACAACCTGTGGGGTCAGCCGTGAATGGGGAGTGGCAAAAAGACCTGAAATGCTAAATGGGAACCTACAGGCTCTGCTAGGAGAGGATCTGTGCCAAAATCAACCACTGGGATAAACACCACCTCTCCTTGGCCTGTAATGGATTCTTGTTAGAAGCAGGACAGACCTGAGCACTGTTCTCACAAAGGACCTGCTCAGAAGACCTTCGGAGCTGACAGGAATCTTTTCACTGGCCTCCACATTACTTGATCAAGGTTTCATTCTTTTCTCCAGGGACATCTGTGGACAATTCTAAGGAATCTGCAAAAGGCAACTGAGAAAAGCAAGTCCGTATCACCAAGCTTAAATCTGTATCTGCATTACCCATGAAATAAATGTGGGGCACCCCAGATTACAACACCTGCCCTGGAGCATCTGATCTTACTCAACTTTGCTTTGGGAAGTTTTGGGTCAGAGATGAAATAGTACTTCCTGAGGCATCAATTTCTCCTTTGCACTGTGTCCACTGTATAATAATTAAGACTTACGCATATCTAGAGTTATTCCAACCAGCCTTCAGTGAATGAAAGAGTCTGATTTTGGATGGCAAAAAGGAATATCCTTCCAAGCTTTATTTCCTCTTTATTAAAAACACAACATGCAAGGACATATTTGCAGTATTGCAATGCAGGATGATTTTGCTTTCAGGTCTTTCTTTCCAAGAGACACTAAAATACCCCCAGCTTTGTGCAGATCTATACATAACTGCACTCCCTATTAAAATGCCAGCATTACCATTTGAAGCTCTGAGCGCTGCTCTGGAGTTGTGTGTCTTTTAAGTCTAACCCAGGGAATGGCAAGACTAATGTTCACATAGAGACAAGTGCAAGGATTTTATTCATGGGTAAGCTGATCTCTGCAATTTCCCAGTAATCTACTCCATGGAAAGTTTGACTTTCAGGGAAAGGAAGGGAAAAGGAAAAATTATGAAGAGTTTTGTTCTATTTTTTCTTCTCTTACACCTGGCTTGCCTGGGATAGATTTGGTTGAAGTCAAAAGATGTCAGAAAACATCAGGCCAGGCTGGTGTATACCTGCACATTCATTCATCTGTGTAGGGTGGGGCTAAATGGTGCCTGGAGGCCTCTGCTGCCCCAGAACCTGTATCTGGCAGCGCTGCCCTGCTGCCAGCCCCCATCTCATGCAGCATGGTGGGCTACTGGTGGTGGTGGCCCCCTGAGGAGCAGCTCTGCTCCCTAAAAGGGTAATGCTTGATTTTGGGAAGATCAGAACCAGGTGAAGATGGCTCCAAGCCCCCATGGGATACAGCCCCAGAAAGGTCTGGGGTTTGCCCTGCTGCTGAGATACACAGCCCTGGGGAGCGAGATGAGATGTGCAGGAGGAAACCAGGGTCCCGGGCATTTCAGCATTCCTGGGATGTGGAAGAGGAGCTAAAAACAGTTTCAAGAGTATTTCCAAACACAGATAGTGCCGATAAATCAGGAGAACGAACCTACAGCGGCACAAGAGAAGCAGAGGTGCATGAAAGGCAGCCAGAGAGGCCACTCAGACTTGCCAGGTCCCTGTTGGCCCTGTGATGTCCTGCTGGGTCACGGCCACACTGCAGTTCCCCTGGTGGCAAAGCCCTGGCGGTGGGTTCCTTGCCTCAAGCCGCAGGGCCGGTGCCGGTCCAGCCTCATACGCTCTTCTCCCCTTCCATGTGCTCCTTGGCTGGAGAGGGCTGCTTGTCCTGGCTGCCCTCCGGGCCGGGTTTGGCAGGAGGCGCGGGGCTGCCGGCAGCGGGCAGGAGGTTGGCAGACTGCAGCACGGCCTCCGAGTGCTCCCGGGCCTTCATGCGCAGCGCGGCCACACTGGCGGTGCGGTTGCTTTGGCAGCCATAGGTGGGCAGGAAGGAGAGGCCCATGGGGTCCGGAACGCAGCACGAGCACAGCGGGCTCCCTGGGGAGGAAGGAGACAAGGCAGTGTCATTGCTGGGGGAGAGATGGTCCCACCGGCAGGGAGTCCTCGTGGGGGTGGTTCTCTGACCTAGATGGGGCGACCCACACCTGCTGGAGTCACACTGTGTGGTGCCTTTCCCTCAATGGTCAACCTAGAGAGGACAGAGATGGGGTTGGGGTCTCAAATGGCAAAAGCCCCATCTCCATTTGACCTTTGGTGGGTATGTAGATGCCAAATCCTGCTCTGCTGAGGCCCACTGAGAAGGATCCTACGTTGTGCGACATCCAGGGTGACAAATAGAGAAAGTGAGGGCAAGCAGACTCAGAGGTGAGCAGTGAAACTTACATCACATGAGATCTCCCCACAAGGAAGGTTAAACTTGTCCCCAGTTCTCACCCCAAGCTGCTGCTCTGCAGCACGATTAGCCCCATGCTGGAGGTATCTCCTGCCATCCAGCTCCACAAGTCTGATCAATCTGAGTAGCAGCATTCCTTGGGTGAGTATGGGGCTTCCACCACTTATCTACACCTGAAAGATTACTGCAGAGAAAAATGTGAAACTATCCCAGTTATTACACAGGAACTAATGGCTTTCTCCTATCTCACTGTAAGATGAGACAGCTTTTTTCTTGGTGAGGTCCTGCCAGCTACTGGCATCACATCTACCTGCATCAGTCTGTTCTATATTCACCAGCCAAACTCTGTGCTGCTTAGGGATAATGCCTCAAAGAGGAGGGCCTCCAAAAGTGAACCAAGGCCTCCTAAAGCTGCTGCTACTGAGATGGCTTAGAGTCCCATCAGGAAGGATGGGCCGGACCACCTCCAACCTGGCATCTAAGATACACAGGCTGTCTCAAGCAGGCAATAAAGCACTGGAGAGAGTGTGAAATGGGCCTTTTTAAGCCAAAAGGATCACAGGCACCCCACTGCCAGGGGCAGTTCTCCTTCCACCAGCTATCTGCCTGAGCTGAACCACTCTGGCTCATCTGTGATAATGCTGAGACTCCTGGTAGTCCAGGGTGAGCCCTAGGCAGGGCATGCAGTCCATCCAAAAAGCCACCCTAGTGCCTTGCTTAGGTGCATCTGTTGAACAGAGCAGAATGTGTCAGAGTGGGGACTAGAGGCAGGGCAGGGTGGCTGAGCTACCATTTTGATTTGCTCTCTGGTGAGAAATGTTGGGGGAAACCATTCTCCCCAGGGGGCTCAGCGATGACACAAAGTCTACATCCTCTTCTATGCCCCTGGCAGAAGCTGATATGCAACCCCCCAGCAGGCAACAGCACGGCCACACACAACCTGACACAATGTCTTCCTCTGATCTTTCCAAGCCAAGGACTTCCTTTAATTTCTGCAGTTAATATTTGAGTTAAATGGCTCATGACTAAGTGATGGTTCTAATAGCCTGCAGGGAGCAGGTAGTCTTTCTCTTACACTTCTGCTCTTGATAGCAATGGGTCAGCACCCATTTGCTAGGATGAAGGCTGAGAGTTGTTTGTTTTTAGGATGTTGGCAAGACTTCTCAACAGCAATTGTCAGAAATCAAAAGTCTGCAGGTATGGTTCAGGAGAAAATACTCCTTGTTTGTTTTTTTTTGTTTTTTTTTTTAAAAAAAAAAAAAAGATTCTACAAGGAAGAGAAAAGTTATTAATATAACTGAAAAGTTATATGAAAAGTTATATAGTTACTCTTGTAATACTCCCCTGGTAGAGCATCTGATCAGCAGAACTTTTCCACAGGTTTAGGCATACGAATGAATCACACAAGCAAATTTTACTACTTGACTGATATTCTTCATTTTTTGCTTTTAGCACTAAGAAGCTCAGTCTTGAATTTTATGGCATGACAACAGGGAGGATGTATAACAAAATCCACTGAGTAACACAATGTATAGTTTTTGCCACCAACAACCATGCTCATTAAGTCATTTTTGCCCTATTGAAAAGCAGCCACTTCAGGGATGCTGGATGGCCACTGTTTTAACAAGAGGGAGGAACAGAGGACTGGCCTTTCAGCTGCAGAAAATCCATCTTTTTCACTGCTATTAAACCCCACTACCATAAGGTCAGGTTCTGTATTGGGGGACATGGAGGCCTCCCTGTGCATCAGCTGTCTTTGCACTGCTGCTCTCTTATACAGAGTGAGGCTCCACCAGAAATGAGAACATTGCGTGCTAAGCAGGTAGTGGGGAGAGGTGGAGAAGAGTCTTCCCCTTTTCTAAAGAGCAGAAATCAACTCCAGGCCCCAAGAATAATTTTCACTCCATCGTTAGAGAGGGATAAAATATTTAACAGTCTTCAGTACCAATCTAAGCTCTTTGCTTAATAATTAGACCTGATAGTACCCTGTGGCTCTGCAACCTGAGGGTGCAGTGTTACCTGTGGTGGAAACCAGGATATCTCTAGCATTAATTCACCCATAAACCATTCCTTGCATTTTCACTGAACAATGGCAAACAACAGCTCCCTCCTGAAAAAAATATAGCGTAACTAGTGTCATTTGCTCCAGGGTCCTGCTAGAGTACAGAAGACTAGGATTTAGTCTTGTTTCCTGTGAATGCAAAAGGAGGGTTGAAACTACTTTGCAATTGCCCATGTCTGCAGGCAGTAAATCCAATGAAATCTATTGGACTTTGCTGACACAAAAGCCAGGACAAACAACGTGAGAATCAGCAGCCCAAGGTCTCCATCTGCCTATCACTCAGCCCACGATGGACAGGGATGTGACCCAGGAAAGATGCATCCACATGTAGCAGACATCAGTGGGGTTTTTTTATATCTTATTGCAGTAGCCCTGACCTCACAGTGGGGAAGGAAGGAAGTGTTCCTACTTACTTAGTACCCTCAGAAAAGTTTAGGCACCTAACTTACATCAAGATCAGTGAGGGTTAGACCTTTAGCCTTAGAGCCTAATCCAGCTTCTGCTAACGTCTCACAGCCTGATATCTCTTTAATGGGATTTGGATCAGATTGCTACAGTACAGACAAGGAACTGTTTTCTTTCTTTCAGGAACTTACTGCCTATTGTACACAAAATTAAAATACACAATTAGATTTCCATTAACTTAGAGCAAATTCTGCTGAATTGATCTGAACCTCCTCGTATTCCTATATGAGATCATACTTTAAATGCTCAGCCTGAACATAAATACTTAATGTAATAAATACAGTCTGAAATATTTGATCCACTTGGCAGTTTAATTGATCTACTACAGAGACTGACAGGAAAAATTAAATTAGTTCTGTCTTGTCTCTGCCAACATCACATTTCAATTGTAATGATATTTGATCTACAATTTTGGTTGTGGACCCTTTTGTGCAGTTCCAAGGTTCAATTTCAGCTTAGAGTAGGGGTATTTAAAATATCTATTTTCTATTTCAACTCAACAGTTTAAAGGATTTAATAGATGGTCTTTCCAAAAGACAAAACCTCAATTTCTTGCCTCTTGCAGTATTTGTGCATATCAGCATTTGATGTGAACAGACAAACAGCAAGCTAAACATGGAGGGAAGTGAAGAAAAATTTGGATTTAAAAATCCTCACCTGCCATTGTATGCTGTTTTCTTTGCAATGGAAATGTTATGCTTGATTTAAATAAAGCTTCCTGTAGTTACAATGGTTTGCTTGAGCTCTAATTCCTCAGAAACTCTGAAGTCATTTTCACAAGGGTTGGAAGGTCAACAAAAAACTTGAGTTCACAGTGCCATTTACCAGGGAGGGCTGATTCCAGCGGGATCTCCCTCTTGCTCCTCATATATGATGCCAACATTTTGTCTATTAAAGCCTGAGGCACAAGCAGGAAAAACAAAGGTGGCTTTATCCAAACCTTTTGAGCTCTGAATCAAGAGGCTCAGAAGAACAAGAGAGGCATGAGCTTAAATACTGAAATGGGGAGGTAGCAGATGCTCCCAGTGTAATTTAGAGTAGCCCCAAGGCTGCTAAAGTTGTGCTAGACGGTTCCTCTTAGTGCTTAAGCTAGATAAGTGTGGAAGGCATCCTGTGCTGCCCAGAGGCTGGAAGAGCACTGCAGAGCTGACAGCAGAGTCCAAATGTCATATCTCCTTGGCTTGTGAACTCTATGTGCCCAATGCAAACAAGGAGCTAGCTCTAGCTGGAGCCTTTTTGTATGAATAACTTAACACTGGAAATGGTGGATTCCATCATCCTTTATTTGTGTCATCAGTACAGTTCCAAAAAAATAAAAATTAAAAAAAAAAAAATCAGAAGCCAGAACCTTGCCTGTTTGGACAGGAATAGTGGCAGTATAGTCCGTAAGTGCTGGAAGAACAGAACCAGTTCTTTGAATACTCTTAGCTCTGCAACCATTTACCATTCTTTCCATCCATATCAACAGCCTTTCCCAAACACATGATCTGACCCTAAATGCTGCTTATGTGTCACTCTAAAAGAGGTCAATGGGAAGCCCTGCTCAGCTAAGGTCTGCTCATCTAATCAGGATTTGGACCATATGAACAGCTCAGCACCCATCTTCTTCACATGATTCTCAGATGCTCCCACTATCCACGTATTCTCTATCATTTGTGGTAAAGACCAAAAAAAATCTACCTGTGAAGTAGAGCAGTGCCAGAGTTGAGGACTTGTGGTAAAGGAATCAAACCAACTTGCTCAAGGTCTGAGTATGTGCAGTGAACTAATAAGTTTTATATTCCCTAAAGTCACAGAGGCAGGTAAACTAGGGAAAATGCATTGTCCAAAGAGAACATGCTTGCTATACTTGCTATCTTACATGAATTTACCAAGGTTACATGCTGAGAAAAGTCAGGAAGTCCTTAATCAAGTACTACCAAATGACAAAGAAAACAAAGGACCTGCAGAGTTTTGGTGCTTCAGTTCAGTAAACACCAGTTGGAGGGTAAGTCAGGTCCTTGAACACTTCTTTCTCAGTCTTTCTCTAACCCAAAGGTCTTGGGCAAATTCTCTTCATCTTTCCGTAATAGGAATTCAAATGTAATGGATGGACAGTTCTAGCTGTCTTTTCTTGTT